GGTGAACTACATTGCTCTTATGGCTCTTCTCAAGCCATGTAGAAGTTTTAATACATGTATATACCTGGTACCTCAGGTACCAAAGGCACCTGATAAAATAGCTGCTTTTATCTTCCTGCTGCCCTGTCCTTTCACTATCACAAGGCCTAGTAAACATGACCTGTACACAAAACTCCAAATGTAGGTCAATAAATATTGTGAAGAAGCAGAAGAGCAAGAGAAGGAGGAAAGGAACCCTCCTAAAATCTCAATCCTGAGCTCACAGGTTCGAGACCAGCCTGGGCCAGAGCGAGACCCTGTCTCTAAAAATAGCCAGGTGTTATGGTAGGGGCCTGGAGTCCCAGCTACTCGGGAGGCTGAGGAAGAGAAGCACTTCAGCCGAAGAGTTTGAGGTTCCTATAGCTATGACACCACAGTACTCTACTCACAGTGACATAGTGAGACTCTGCCTCAAAAAAGACTAAAAAACTGAATTCTCTCTATTGCTGGTACATTTTTCATTTCCTAACGATGGCAGGACCCATAATTATAGCCAACACACAAATACAAACTTGCTGTTCTCTAAAAATAAGCTGACTGCCCTCTCTACTAGGGTTGTGTATACAGGGGTAGAACCACACAAAGAATACTCCTTGGCCTGGAACCAGCAGCCCAGAGCATTCATCAGGGTTCATACAATTTTGATGTAAACAATGTTCTGCTAAGAAGCAATTCCCAAGTGTACTCTGGGGATGTGCACATCCTGCCTGGGAAGCATGCTGACCCTGCAGATTCCCCAACCCCACAACCGCATCTCTAGTGCAGCCTCCCCAGGATCAGGAACTCTGGGCATCTGCGTGGTGACTACAGGGGCTGCGTCTTGTGCATGACCATAGTTGAAACCATTTCTTTGGTTTATGATTTTTTTTGACAAAATCATACCTTATGAGTAAATTATTAACTAAACAAATTGGTTAGATAGTACAATCACAACTAGATATGATTCTAAGTAACTGACCTTTGATTCCAGTTCTGTCTATTCTTCACTAAAACGTTAGTAGTTTTCAAGACATAGAAGGTCAAGGTAAACTCAGTGTATCAATCTTGTTCTGCTATCTCATGTAATAAAATTATTGAATAGAAATGACATGTGATAAACCACACATATTAAAATTTACAATTAGGTAAGTTTGAATACATGTATAAATCTGAGAAACCAACTCCACAATCAAGAAAATGAACATGTCTTTCACCTCCCAAAGTTCCCAGCTGCCTCTCTGTAACTTCACCACTCCACCTACCTCTATCAAACCCAACCCCATCCTCAGGGAACCACCAGGCTGGTTTCTGTCATCACAAATTAGTTTGTATTACCAAGAACTTGATGAAAATGGAATCACCCCCCTGAATACTAGTTTTTGTCCAACAGCTTCCACTCAGCATGACTATTTTAAGATTCATCCATGTTCACGCATTTCCCTCCCTTCCTGAACAGTGGGGTGCTGTGGGACTTACCAGGGTCTTTTACCCACTTCATTGCTGACGAATATTTGGGTTCTTTCCAGCTTTCTGTCCTGACAAATGAGCTGTTATAAACATTTGTGTACACATTATCGTGTGTATATAAACTTTAATTTCCTTAGAGCTAATACTCAAGGAGAAGAATAGCTCAGCCATATGGTGGGTGTACATTTAACTTCGTAAGAAACTGTCAAACTATTCTCCACGTCATGTTACCACTTTACATTCATACAAGCAGTATTTAAGCGTTCTAGTTGTTTCACACACTTGTCACCACCTGGGATGGTCCATCTTCTAAAGGACATATGGTGGTAACTCAACCTACTTTTAATTTGCATTCCCTTAATAAATAATGATGTAAAACAGCTTTTCCTGTGCTTATTTGCCATCTGCCATCTTCGTTGGTGAGTAACATCATTTACTCTTGTGCCCACTGTTGAACAGCTCTTTCCTTATTGTGGAAATTGTAGGAGAGTTTATGTTTCATACGCTCAGGCCCTTTATCAACACGCAATCTGAAATGTTTTCTCCCAGTTCATGCTTCACCTTTTTATTCTCTTAAGACCAGTTCTTAGTTTTGAAGAGCTCCAATTTATTAATTTTTCCTTTTACATATCACTTTCTATATAAGAAATCTTTGCCTAACTCAAGGTCCATGAATTTCTCCAGTGTTTCCTCCTAGAAGTTTTATGGTTCAGGCCCACCTGGCTCTACGATTTGGGTCTATCCTCGGTTTGATGAGGATTTCTATCGGGATATTGTCCAGGGCTTTGTCTGTGTCTCTTGAGATGATCTCATGGTTTTTGCTGGTGTTAGGCTGTTATTAGGATGGTTCATTGGTTTTCAAGTGTTAAACCCATCTTGCATTCCTGGGGAAAACGCTGCTTGGTTATTATGTACCAAACCTTTCCAGATACTGCAGATTTAATCTAAATTTTTGTTAAATATTTTTTACATATATGTGCATGAGAGGAATTGGTCCATAGTTTTCTTTTCTTGTCATTTTTTGTGCTTTTATCTCAGGATGATGCTAGCCTCATAGAATGAGTAAATATTCCATCCTTTTCAAGTTTCTGGAAGAGTCTGTAAAGAACTGGCATTTGTTTATTTGTTTGTTTTCTTAATGTTTGGTAGATTTCATCCATGCAACTGTCTGATCTTGAGCTTTCTTTCTGGGAAGATTTAAAATTTTAAATTTAAATATTTTAATGTAAAGAGCTACTCAAATTCTCTATCGTTTCTTGAGTAAGCTTTTATATTCTGGGTCTTTTTGTATATTCTGATCATTTGTATACAATTATTGACTAAATCAAGTTAAAACAAAATATATATACTTTTAAGTTGAATTTTTAAAATGAAAGTAACAGTTTCTGTCAGCATTTACTATGAATTTCTGGCGCCCATAATTTATGAATTCACTTAAGTGGCCTCTTAACACTAAGATGATAAGGAACATGCTGAAACGGCAGGTATGGCAACTAATTCCAACACAGCTCATTTCTAGAAGTAGTAAAAAATAAATACTTTCCATAAATTAATTGTGTTGACAATATTCAATTAGGATAAAACACTACTGTAAAAGCAGGTTTATCTGCTGAAACTAGAATTTACTTTCGCTGTAAAGGATGTACATTTATACTTTAAGATAAAAAACATCTAAGCTCTGCCTTGAATTGTATAGCATTTGGGGATCAATCCTACTATTGACATATTATTAGTTGTTTTACTGTTAAACACAATAATTTATTGA